TATATATATATATATATCCTTGTCTATAAAATCTATTTATACATTTCTTAGATGATAATCGTATACATTTATTAACAATATATAATGACTAACTATATAATACATATAGTACTTTAATAATATTACAATTTCAAAACTGTGTAAGATTTGTATGTATTGTAATCAACGCATGGATATCGCAATAAAACAGACAAGAACTGATATATTGTATGTTGGAGATAGCCACCTATCAGTTAACACTTTCAATATATCATTTTAGAAGCTATTTGTGTAACAAATTATCACAAAGAAAAGTACAAAAAATTTCCGTTCAAAAATCGTTTTATCTGTACATTTTCTGATGTATTTTTCCTCATAAAATTCGAAGTTGTCATGACGCTGAGTATACTCCAAAAAAATTGATATATTGATCAAAAGTTAATAGAATCCTGATTCATATTACGACAAAATCACTGTGAATTATGCTTTAATAATTCAAAACTAATTCAAAGTTGGATCAAACATAATTAACACTACAACATGTGAGTAATGTTGCCTTGCAAAATGTTAAACGCTAAAAATTATATTTTTTCGATATAATATTTATCAAAAGATTTAATTTTATGAAAAACCATATTAATACATTATTATTGCTCAATTATTGCTTTTTAACGAAATATAGAGAACACTTTCAAAACACTCAAAGTTGCACAATTTTCAGATCACTGATGAAAAATATATTTCGATGAAACATTATAACAGACAAAAAAATAAAAACATAAAGTTTGAAAATTACTTTAACATGATTTTGATTGTTTTTAAAAAAATTTATCTTCACAATTTCGTATCTTTACAAAGATCACCTTATTATATTTCTAAGATTACAAATACATTTAGTGGTCTGCAGTTCGATAAAAAATTAGTTATCGAGATGCAGATTGTTGATATATGTAATTTTAAGAAACATAACAAGATGATCTTTGTTAAGTTAAAAGTTTTATACTTCTTTGTTAAGAAATATAAAGATAAAATTTTTAGAAAAAAATTAGAAGCATCTTCAGAAACGAATAATGCAAAAAAAAACAATTTATAATTTAAAGGTCATTTTTTATACTATTATCCTAAGAAATTTGAACACTAACTACTACTTTTATTGTGAAATTCGTTCGTATACAAAATTTACAGCTTAAATAATATAAAGATTTCACTATTGAAATTATCATTAAAATGACAATTTATCTTCAATCATGTAACATTTAGCAAACAGTGATGTGCTTACAACTACATTATTCAAACACGACTGCTTTTTGTTTAAAAGCGTAAGCATAACCATTAAATGTAAAATATGCGTTTAAAAATATTATCGCTGGTCGAAAGTCCTGGACGAAAAAATTCCACCTTCTTCTACATATTGATAACTAGGAGCGAAAATTAGTGTCTATTGAAAAATATGACTTTACAGTTAAATAATAAGATAAATGGGATCTCTCTCTCTCTCTCTCTCTCTCTCTCTCTCTCTCTCTCTCTCTCTGTTTCGTTTTGATTTGGACTTGGAATCGATTGGCATTACATTCTAGTTACATATGTACATATTTACGAATATACATGAGCAGAAATTTATCGCAATTCTAATATTTACTGCGAAGAACTTCTTATTGCACCTATTTTGCATTGATAGTAATGAATAATGATATTTAATTCTGTTCATCAAATTTGAATAGATAAATATTAAACATTGCTTGTTCTAAATCCATGTTCCGATATATTGTTAGTATTGAAAATCTATAGCCCAATCAGCAAACAATATTTCCAAAAATAATGGGTCAAGCTCCTTTTGTTTTATTAAAAAAACGTTTATTGTAACGTTTGAACAAATATCCTTTTAACGTTAATAAATATTTTATTTATTGTTTGGAAAATCACACATTTCTTTAACGTTTGAAAAAAACGTTTAAAATTTTCAAAAATGTTAGCATTTTTAAAAACAATAAATATAATGAGTTAAATCATTTTTTTAATTACAAAAGCATTTATTTTAATAAACAAATAATGAGAAAAGGCTACAAGCAAGATTTTTTTTTAGTATTTCAAATTCTTAAAACATATATTTCGACCTTATTATTAGTTCATCCTCAATGTAAAGAAGTTAAACACAAATTGGACAAAATCAATAAAACGCTTCTTGCAAATTAAATTGATTCATTGTTTCAATTACTGATTATATCCTGGTTTAGCAATCACAGTTGAGGTATATGTACAATAATTTTATTTATTAACACACACTTTAATATAGTTGTCTATTAAAATAAGAATTGTATATACTAATAATTTTTAATATAACAATAATTTATTCATTGTTATTTTAATTTTTATAATTTATTTTATTAATTTGATAACAGAATGTGTGCTGATACATTTTTATTTAATGACTCATCATGTTAAATTTTTTTATTATATATCATGGACTTATTGCGACTGTTATAATGGGGAAGAATATAACCGATAATATTACTAAAACGAAAAGCATTGCATTGTGCGGAAGATGGAATAAATACTACCAACTTTTTGCGTAAATAAATTGTATAATTTTAACTGTTTTATTAATTTTGCGTTTAATTTCTTTACACTGAGGATGACCTAATAATAAGATCGAATGTTCTAAGAATTTGAAATACATAAAAATCTGGCTTGTAGCTCCTTCTTGTTATTTATTCTTTATTTATTGTTATTTATTATTATTGAGCCATAATATAAGATTATTTTATTATAAGATTATTTTTATTTATTTTAATGTTTTAAGAAACTTTTTTTTAATGTTAAAAAAACGTTTTTTTAAACCTATTTGAACAAAATTAGAAAAAATAATAACGTAGAATCTTTTTTTAAATTTATTTTTTTTATCACCAAGTGCCTAAATCTTAGACAACTAACTTTATTAATTAATTCTAATTTTTAATTATTTTTAATTATATTTTAATTATATTTTACTCTTTTTCGCTTAGGGTTTTAACCTGGGATTTCACGGTTATAAATATCTTATCCGTTATATCACTTATAACTATCGATGCACACAGTTCTTATTATCCATATACAGTACACTTAACGCAATTATATTGTGATAATTTCTCTTTCATAATTATTTTATTATCCCGACCCATTTTTTATTAATTTGAGTTTTAGAAAATAATAAAATTTTTACATCTTTTTATAATAAACGTCAGATAAATGTTAAATAAATGGTTTTTTAATCACATTTTAAATAAATAAATAATGTAAAAAAAACATTTAATAAACGTCATATAAACGTTCAAAAAATGATATATTTAAAACATTTGATAAATGTTAATTAATTAAATTAATTAAAACATTTTTCAAAACATTTTAAACAAAAAATTATAATGTAAAATAAATATTTAATAAATGTTAAATTAATGAATTTTGAAAACGAATCATGAAAA